TATATTTGAGAGGAGTGAGAGCTTAACCCGTGTTCTCCAATGTGTAGTCAATTATAGAAAAGTAGAGTCCGTCTATTGCAAGCTTCTATTCCACTTACTTTGAAGCTGAATGCCATTCAGAACTTGTTAACAAATTAGTGAGTTTGAATGTGTAATCATACCACCTTTTCGTAATTTTCTTACCAGTCAATGGAAATAGCTCAAACGGTTTTAACGTAGCCGAACTCACTAGAGTTCACTCAAGTTAAAATCTTATAAGAAAAAATTCTGGCCCTTAAAATAAAAAATATCAAATATAAAAATTAGTGCGATTAGAATGTGATTAGAAATTAGTCTTCAGCATTCATGAGTAATAAATGCTAATCGCAACTCTTAAAAAATTATGAAGCTGAAAATAAGTAATGAGCTAATAAAATATTGAAATTAGTTTTATTTTTACTTAATTTGTGGCTGGAAGAACAGGTAAACCTAAATCCGTAATACCTTTGTGTCACTTACGAGTATCTATCTTGTGGAAAATTTTATCATTTCAGCATTAATGCTCAGCCGCTTATATAAAGAAAAATTCCAGTTATTCCTAAAGTTCACTTTATTTTCGTTTTAGGTAATGCGATCAATCATAACTACAACAGAATAGTGAATAGGTATTATCGAACATTTAAAATAAGCAAAAGCACTTGGCGTTAAATAAATAGACCTATTATTATGCCACTAAAATTTCATCCACCTCACACCCCGAAACGTGTATTTACCTTAATATTCACATATTACCCTATTTTAATCAATGAAACAACAATATAATGGAATATTAGCTCTTAGAGACCAAAAAAGCGATAAACTTCATCATACTATTAATGCAAATCAAAACTTGTCAATTATCCCAAGCCTGTAGTTTTTACATTTTACAAGCATGGAAAAGGAAACTTAAACCTCCTACTTTCAGGTTTTAGTCAAAAGAGATTTATTCCGTTTTGGTGACTTTAGACTATAAATGTATGCTAGTGCAACATTCGGCTTTCCACCAATAGGAAGGTCCTTCCAGTTCTGATTGGTTCATCAGACATTTGCGTGTCTACAATTGGCCCACCATGATTTACCAAAATTCATCGACCTGTTATTTGGCTTCTAGAATGTTCTTTTTAAGTGAATTAAATTTCCATTAGTTCATTTACAATTTTCTCACAAGAGTGCTCAACGTAAATAAAGCATAACAAGTTGGAAACACAATATAATGATTAAATTGAAGGAAGGCTACTCCAAAGTAGGTAGAGGTTCATTTAAAATAAAGTGGGTATTCTTTTACTAAGATTGGCAATTCTTAACTTGCACTTTATATTCCAATGGCGTTTCTTCATCAGAGTAAATTCGATCGCAAAAATAGATACGTCTTAATCGACAGTTAGCATTAATCCGCACTCTAGTTACTTCCTGCAAACTTTGTTTGTAACAGTGACTCATTAGTTGATTTAAGTCAAATACGACTGTATTCCAACCAGGATGCAGAAACAATGGCATAGTTGTGGAAAATGGACGAATAACTGTGTTTTTTGTAGAATTGCTAGCTCTGAAGCGTCGATGGAAACCACTGAGATCTAGCGCCTCAATTTCAAAGGTAAAAAAACGATTCATATTTTTAAAAATCATGACAAAAATTGGCATTCTGATGCCTAGGCTCTCTTTTTCACAGGCTGGGCATTCAATGAAGGTAGTGCTTACATTTGTTCCATAAATATCAAGGACTATTGATTGAATTATCGGGTCGGTAATTCGCCTGATACTTCCTGATTGACAGCATGCTTTCCAATTTAAGAGGGGCTTAAGACCAATGCTATAGAAAATCGATAAAAATCCTGTTTGATAGGCTCCCCGATACATTCTTTTTGTCCTGCCACTTAATGTTCCTATTCTTTTACACTCGTGGAAATCTTCATGGCGGCATTGATTTTTACATGTCAACACGTGTTTTACAACGCAATATAAACTACTAGCGAACGCATGCAACTTCACTGCCTTTCCAAGCAACTCAGATTTCTAACCATTTTAGCAGAGAGCTCCCACTCATGACCAACTTACATTTATATTTGTGTTTATTTTATTTCAGAATGAAAGTGTTCTCTAATTTTGATTATTAAAAGAATAACTTAATCGTAAAGAAATTCCTATTCAACATTTCCGAGGAAATAAGAGTGTAAAATATTTTGAGCTAGGTAGATAATTATAGAAAAGGGGTGCGCAATAGACTTACCTCCATGTGGTGCACCCTGGGCAACGTGTTCTCATACGGAAAAAAGTCTATTAACCGGCACTTGACTTCTGACTTCAAACTACCATCACCCCACTGTATGTCATATTCGATTACTTCCACAGTACTTACCTCACCTTTGTTCTACCTTTGTATCTGTCTCTTTTACACCTTTGAAACAGTCTTCTGTTCCCCTCCCCCTCTTGAATTTTTCCCTTAGATGTTCCTTCTTCTCTGTGAAGCCTGAAGTCAACTAAAGGGCTAATTATAACTATCAAAACGCTTACCATTTGATATAAATAAATAACTATAGAAAAGTAAAAAAACATACTTCTGGACTAGTTCACATGGTTTTATACTACGTCAATTACAGCAGATCTGATGGACAAGTGAGATGACAGCAAGGAGTCAATCATACTCAAGTTGTCGTGTCTCTAAAGGAACTTAACAAATGATCTGAAACTGTGCGTATGGACGCGAAAGCAAAAAATAACAACTGCTTGTGGTCATTTATACCAATAACTTATCTGATATAAGGAATTAGTTAATATTCCCCAGGCTTAGAGTAGAACTAAGTGAATTTAATTCGTGTCCCCTGTTGATTAGTTTAGTACCCACAATTTTCCCAAGGCAGTATCAAGAAATGTCTTTAATTCGCTGCTACATAATTGGCTAATCAGGCAGCCAATCAACCCCATGCCCACCTTTTGCAAAGAACCAGCAACTGCCGCAGATTTCGATGAATCGGTGGAACTTGCTATTAAGTAAAAGTGCAATGTTGACAATTAAATAACTGGCGTATTACAAATAACAAAATAACTAAACGCCAAATCAATTTTGAATTTGATTTGATTTGGAAAGTTAATTAAGGTTTTAACCAAGCATAGGAAGAAAAGTAAAATTAAACGAGCGTTAAAAAAGGATAATTCAAATAAAGAGGATCACCTCAAAGCCTTCTTTTGACTTGCACGCCTTTTTCCTACTGAACTAGACTGCTAATAGAGTGAAGGTAGTCACTGGAATTATCGTTAATAGATGATAAGGCCCAGTATTTACTTAGATATGCAATTTACTTCACATAACCAACCTCAAGTAAACAATTGTTCCTTATTAACCCAAAGACGAAACATTTGCGTTGAGTCCAATTTTTAGATGATGGACGCAATCAATGATGGGGAGTTTTGCCACCTTGCTTTATTAATAAAAATGCAGTTATGCGTATTTGAATACCCATAACAATTGCCACTGAGGTGGCTATAATCCGGTCATAAAATTCACTTTGAACTCATCAAGTACAACAATATCGATTAGCATCTGAAGCTTAGAGAAGAATAGCACATTTTGACAGATTGGCAACTTCATACTCGTCAGTAAGACGAAGGAACGAAAGGGACAAATTCTACTATACATCTACTGTATCGTAGGGTGACCTATCTCCTATTGCTCATTGCCGCTACCCTCAGTGGTTACCTTGGTTCAAGCGAGTTACTAGTGTCTCTAAGCCTTGCCACCGCATTTATTTACAGCAAGAGTCAAGGCACTAATGGTTTACCTGCATAGCATGTAATTTTGTTGCAATTATGCTCTATGACTAGGTACGTGCATGTAAGAAGAAAGAGCGAAAAATTATGTCTTCTAGTAAGGAACTTAATCCACAGAAATTTTCTGAGTTCTTAGGAGGAGATATAGAATAGTGATTGACCACCATTTCGGTGACTTCAGGAGTCTAGATGAGCTGTCACTCTTCCAGCTTCGTTCAGTCCACACCACACAAGATGGAAAAAGGGGTAAAATTAGTTTGAGAAATTCATTGGCATTTTTGGAGGATGTAGGATGGCACTGTTTCGTACTTGGAGAGAACATAAGGATGAGGGGTACTGGTTCAGATATGACATCAAGTACACTCCCAGCACATATGTGAGGAAGTAGTCCATTGTGATTAGAAAGAGTGTTTGGTGAGCTATTATAGCATTGGCTTTCTATTGAGAAAGTGGGAAATTAACGCACAATGACTGACCGAAGTGCCTAATTGCAGCCGAGTGTTGATATGTGGTCGCAATCGGCCAATCCCACAGGTAGTTCATATGGCTTCTTGAATTTTACCACAATTTTAGTCTATGATCGAATATTTCAGCGTTTACCACAAATATTACAAGTCAAACATCCTTAAGATCAGCAGCCCTCTAGCCCACCTTCTTAATAGGTTGAAACTCTCATTAAGCAGTAAAATGGCACAAAAAACCCCAAACTTACGTGGCTATTGATTAAGCAAAAGCAAATAAAGTTACTTCATTTCTGATCTACAATAAATCATTCTCATAATATGCGTATCGATTTGTCCACTGGTCTCAAAACCCCTTTACAGCAAATCCCTATTGTGAGCGTGGAAGGACCTAACCTGTTTCCACAATTCCTCATTTGTATCTTCTAATCTAAAATCATTCTTATACTAAAGGAGGAACCATTTAAAAACTCAATAAAATCCAAGATACACCAAGAACATCAATCAAATATTCCATAGCAAGAAAGAAATCTATTGTAGTAGCAACATTTGCATAAACATTGACCAACATGTAATCAGCATTTTTCGTAAAGTTAGATTGGATAGGGAAGGAAGAGAAGAAGGGAGGAGAATCGATTGGTACCAGGTATGGATATACACACAAACGAATAAGACCTACTATGTACATATAAACATATGCGCCCACCGAGCGAATCAATCTCTGTACAGAATGGCAGTAGTGGGAAGAACAAAATACTATGCAGCATTTTTGCTGCAGTACTGCTTTTGATAGGCCAATCTCAGGCCGTCTGCAAGTTGAGCTATCTTTACTGCCATTTCCCAGTCCAGACCCATCTCCGATTGTAGCTCCTGCGCCGAGGGAAGAAGCATTATTGCTTGACCGTCAACCGCCTGGGCTGCAAGCCAAGGCCAAAGTTCCATGCAATTTGTCGCCTCTAGATGCTTCTCCAAATCCCGGGGAGTCCAGCTAATTGGATCACTTGCCAGTGTGGGGACATCAAAAGCCTGAAAGGAAGTGGGATCGGAAGCTTTAACTTCTCTCTGCGCAATATAATAGATGCACAATTGGTCAACTTACGGGTGTCGCATCACCGTTAACATTACGAAAATTGGTGCGAGATTTCACAGCCTTACGACTCGTAGTGCTGTTGAAACCATTGCCCAAATTACCGGTGATACTGGCACTACTTCCACGCAATCTTTTAGCAGGTCGTTGACCGTTGGGATTTTCAATGGACTTCCCATCATCGCCCTTACCCTGATTATTCTTCGCACCTGAGGGGTTCCAGTCGTATAGGAGTGGGGGGAGGAGAGATCGATCATTCAGGAGTCGAGAGGAGACCATGAGAGGGCGTTTACTATTACCTTTTGAAATACGTAGTTCAGAATTGAGGAGGGCGGCTGTTGAAATAATAGTATCGTCAGCTATTACAATTATCGGGGAGACGAAGTTGTTACTGCTGCTGCTGTCAACGGAGTTGTTGCGATGAGAGTTTAACAAATCATGGCACTTTAGGGGACACTCTTGACCCACGGCTCCGTATTGTTGAGTACTCAGAAGGAATGGACAAGCCTCGAGACTAATGCTTACCTGTGGTGAAAAGAAAAGAGATTTCAGCTAATTTATTGAAACAGAACCATAAGTAACTCCACTCGTTTCTTAAAGCTAATCTCATTCAACTAGTACCTTAGATTAGAACCAATTGGTATTGTTTACAAACGTTTAGTTACAATAAAAGCCGTAGGTCTACCATTAATAACGGAAGAAGTGTATATACAAAAATAGAAATTCGTTTTAACATCGGATTTAAAGCGAGTTCCTAAATTATTAAATGCTTAATTAAGTAGTTGTGGTAAAAAATTGTCGAGTTAACTAAACAGTAACAATTTTCAATACTTTACCACATTTCAAAGTAATTCAGTCAAAATGACTATAACCAAATAGCATAGGACATCGACACAGTATTTGACGTAGATATATTGACTAACTCACAATTTCATCTATAAAATAATTCTCAAGATTTTTTCCCAACCCATCTTATGTGTAAAGGTGGTAACCAGAAGCTTCAAGGCGCAAAATTCTACCGATCCTTTATTAAATCAATTTACTCATCGCGATTAGCCATTCCACCTATTCGATATGCACCGGTGGGCAACAGACTTGTGGATTGCAAATTCGAAAATGATAGCGTTAACCGACTGAAATAACCGGATAGGTGATTTAAATTAAATGTAAATTGATTTATAGAAATAACACTCTTGAGATACTCCATTTCTAACATCCACCTGTAGACAACCATTAATCAGAGAAGGTTTAGGTTACGTTAGACACAGGACCTGGGCAAACAAATTGGATAAATAAGTGCGTGAAAGAAAAAAATTTCTTCAACCTACGGTAAAAGTACCTTAGCAAATCAAATTGAAAGGTAAGCCAGTATCAAAAATCACATAAAGAGATACGAACAATGCAGCTATTTCATATATTATATCAAGCTATTTAGGCATTCATTCTGATAAAACGGTACGAGGAAAATCAAATTTAGCCTTCGTTTGTTTTAATTAAAGAGAAGCTTACCTGGCGCAAAAAGTCTTCAACAGCTCGAACCCGCTTGCAAATTTCCAAAGTTATAGGGATTTGAGTGCCCTTGTTGGGACAACGGAAGGAGAATGTGACTAAATTCATTCCAGCATGAAATCGCCTTATTGCTTCTGCCTTTACTTCTCTGCGTTTTTTGCCATTCAAACCATTACAAGAAACATTGACAGACTTCTTCACCCAGTCAGCATCGAAAGCCCGATTAACTGAGGCCTTTTTGTCCACCGTCATTGCGAGATTATTTATTAACCGAATTAATGTTAACTCTAAAGGTCCAGGCCCAAACTCGCGCTGTAAGAATTGTAGTCTCGTCTACAACAACAAATGAACATGAATTATTAGTCTTAATTCACGCATCTCAACTACTTACACTAAATAAGTAACAAAGTTATAGTGAAAAAAATGAGAAATTACCTTAACTATATTGGGTCCACAGTAGCATTTGCTGTTGATGTAGATTTTTGGACAGACTTCCGATTGAGAGTAGAACTGATCTATTTTTACTATGCCATTGACATGAGGAAAAGAGGGCTTGGGATGAGTTGGCGTTTTCCAGATCGGAGGATTGACAGATAAGTGAAGGAATGGTGGTCGAAGATAAGCCGCAGGGGGAATAAAGGGATGACGATTTTCCTGACTCCAACCGAGTGGATACAGGGAGGTAGATGAGGATTCAATCACAATTGGGGTATTTACAGTATAGTCCTCATTAGCATATGGACTCCAGTTAGGTAAGAGATCAGGAAGGAGCCAAAGTAAGCCAGCCTGACATCGTATCACAGTTGCAGTCACAATTGGACCCTCACGAAATTCGACCTCACCAATAGTTTGGTTGAATTGTGTATGCCTCCACATGTGGAGCGGAAGGGCCATTTCTAGTCTCATGCCTGGACAAAAATCGCGGGAAACCCACAGACCACTATTATCACTCAGGTCACTGCATTTTGAACGCTTCAATCGATTTACCCCTCCGCTACTACTACCGCCACCCATACCAATATTTTGCAGAGGTGAATAAGTGTCAAGTGGGAAATCCTCTGAATTTTTGGATTTTGGAGCAGTGGAATTGAAATACCGATCAATAGGGATGGAGAGGGACTTAATGAGAGCTTGAAAAAATTCCTCGGTTACAAGTAGATATGATGGCAATTTGGATGGAGTTTTAGATTCATTCAATAAGGTCCTAGCATACGTGATCCAATTAAAGGGTTGACCAATTGGCCAATTTTCCGGAGGGAATAATTTGAGTCCATAATATCGACACATATTTGGAGGCATTATTTGAGGCATACCAACGTGAGCTACAAACTCCTTTGGATGGTGTTCAACAGATTTTCTTGAATTAAGACGATGAAGTGAGGGGAGAACGTCGAATCTCACGACAAAGTACCTATCGGAGAGAATTTCGACAACTGTGGCCGGACGAGCGCCAAATGGATTCGAATTATCAAAAGCTTCTAGTTTTGTTCCCACTTTGAACAGATGTTTAGGTGGGTCCGGAGCAAAGAATAGATGTCCATTCCACGGTAGCACATCATGAAATGGGGAATGTGCTTGAATGAAATCCGATCCGATTTCTATAGCATCAATAGTCATAAGACATTTGGGTGGCCTATAGCGAATTGAATGGGCATAACTATAGCCCAACATCCGAATACGAGGATCCCAAAGAAAAATGGAAAATACTGGCTGATCCAGACAGTTGAGGTTGATATTAGTGCCGCATCTGAAAACACCGCGTTTCTCATCGAATTCAGCATTGATACCAAGCCAAGAGACCACAAGACGCCCATTGTAATTTTTTAGAATTTTAACGGGCCATACATCAGAAGGATCGGCTAAACTTCTGCACTCCAAATAATCGCCAACTTTCAGCATATCGCGTAAATACATGGCTTTCTCATTAAAAATTAAAGGAGAGATGAGTGAATTGAGCACTCTTTTTTCAAACTCTTGACTGAAGTCTGGAATTCCAGGCCGAGATTTTCGATCAAGAAACTCGTCAGTTGATTTGCACTGAAGTAGTTCGTGGGGAGAAATCCAGTCTAAATTATTTTCTTGAGAGTACCCCATAGGGTGAACTAGCTCCCAAAATTTTTTGTCAATATTTAACCAGAATGGGGGGATCCGTTCTGCTCCCTTTGTAAAAAATTTTAAACAAGGATTAATTTCCGCAGAATGCAACCAGCGAAATTTGCATTTAATGTTTATGGCGCATATAACTTCGCATGGCCAAAAATATGACCCACTAGGAATTCGTAAGGAGGTAGCTTTAGAAAAAGCAGCCAAATCCATCTCAACAATTTGATGGGTTCTAAAATTTAGGCTCTCGTTTTTTTCGATGTGCCGGAATAGATGTATAGGAGCAATTTCACAGCCTGTTTCCATAGAAAAATTGTAGGCAGAAAATTCATCGCAGTCGCTTGAGCTAAGAGAAGGCATGATTTCAGCTGATTCGTTCTTCATCGTAGTAAGTGCAGCTGAACCTTATTATTTACAAAAGTGTAAATAATTCCCTAAAAATATAAAAAGGCATTTATCATGAAAGAAAAAATTTATATAGAAACATAAATACACATAAGGCTCAAATAAGAAGATTAAAAATTTTTTCTTTACTTATTTTACGTAAAATAAATTAAAATATAAGAGCCAGAATGTAGGCCCAACTGATCCTTACCCAAGAACCAATGCGATTGACACACTTAAACAAAGAAATTGACATAAAAGTTTATTTTACAAGAAGTTTAAATGTCTTAAAATATGTAACACCTGGTAGAAATAATATTAATTTAAAAAAATAAAATTAAGATTTATACAAATTTTTTCATTCGAATGTGTATTCAATTCGGTATGTAAGTTGAACCTCTTTCACTATATCTCATCTAATATGAACCATTATAATGTCATTATAATCTTTTATATTCATTATCATGCCGCAAACATTTAAGGTTCATAGTATTTTTATATAAGTTCATAAGAATAGATTATCTCGAATTTACGAAATTCAATAGATTCATATTTTCCAGCAGGATTGGTGCCTTGTGAAAAAGCGAGTACGTATGGGATTATAAATTAATTTTTAATTAATAAACGACACTGTTCATTTTGGTTTGTTAGGTTTTCTTCAAAAAATTGATTAAATAATAGCCCATTCTAATAAAATTACATATGTAAATATATTACTGCTTTCGTTTACTATAATGATTTTGACTTATGCGTCTCTTCTTAGACCAGGAATGGCAGGGTCAATGTATATTCTAGTGGAAATGGTTTTATTTACCCTAACATGCAGCAAAAAATTGCATAAGAATTAATCTATTGAGCCATAGCGGTTATACGTGCATCTAATATAAATAGGAGAACATGGTATGGAATTTAAAGGAATAAGACGATGACTCATATTTTGCTTTTCTAAAGCAAATTAAAGTTTGGAGAAGAAATATAAGATTTTAAATTAATAGATCACTACCCATATTAATTCGTGAATTGAGGTTCAAATTTTGCTTAAATTGTGCTAGTAAAATCGTTCAGTGTATGATACTTTAATAAGAACTTCAATTTGAAGTTATGACTAACGTTTATTTATGTACCTTCAGGAGCTGTTACTTTAGTAAAATATCACAAATAGACTGTTTTGGATAGTTTCTCTTCAGTATGATCGGATCTTTTCTTAACGAAAGTTAATGGTAATGTTATTTTAATTATTTGACAGATTTAAGCTTAAAATGATCCCTTTAAAATTCAAAAAATTTAAAAGTGGACAAGAATAAACAGCTTTTCCCATGTGAGAAAAAGGGGCTGAAATTGAATCAGTAGTATATTGGACGATAGGGGCTCAGGCAGAGAGAGAGAGAGGTAAATCAGAAGAGCTTTAACAACAATAAAGTTGTCTCTTATAAATGATTATATAAATGATTATATAAATGATTATCATCAGACATTTTTATATTGCAATGTTTAGCATTAATGTATAAGAACATTTGGAACAGGCATTTGATTTGAGATTACGATTGTTCGGAAAAGTTTAAAAGTAGGTGAATTATCGCAAGATGGTGGCAAATTCCAGGAAATTGTTCATTCACGTACCATAAGACAGATTAACGGAACAAATAGTTCATATTTGTTGCCTTGGTATATGCGCAAATATGGCATAAAAATACAATTGACCTTAAAATGCTATTCGAAGAAAACTGTAACAAATGAATGCTATTGTTGATCTAACGGATTGGATTCTGAGTGTTTATAAGAGTGAGAGTAAGTCTAAGGTTGTTTACACGATAAATAAATTCAATTACACTTCGGACTAATAATCTTGATTCCTGAAAATTTTCGTAAATTCGTAGTTTGGTGTTTTATCATTTTCGTAATTTTATCATTTGAATTTTTCATTCGAACGTGATTGATAAATATTTCCTTGAACAATATTCAAATGAAAGGAAACTTCATATTGATTGTATGACCGGTTTCAAAGTGGTCTTGTATGTTAAGGAATTTTTCTTTCAACCTGCAAACGTAAGGCAAATTTTTATTTTAAGCAATTATACACGGAGTACAGCAATTTTATTCTTCACTCATGTTGCCATTCAATTTTTACTTAAATGGCATAAATTACTGTATTGTGTACTGACGATCTACTGACCGGAGATTGAAATTTTACTAATAAGTTCTAAATTTATTTCAAATTAAGATATGCGAAGCTAATAAATTTATTTGATAAGGTGAAATATCGTTACATCATTGATCAAGTTGTGGCTTCACTACATTTGACCAACTCTCAAATTCTTACTGAGATTTCTAGAAGCCGTTTGAGATGTAGCCAAGTATCTGCATTTTGGCTCAAAATAGAGACGCTGAATAATAAGCCGATACCAATAATATTGAAAGGAATTTAAACAGTTACTTAAATTGCCGATTTTTAGCTGAGTGGGAACACTTTAATTACATCATCGACTTTGCACTTATCAGTTGGTTCAATGAATATGAAACTGTCATAGGTTATAAGGGGCTAATCTATTTCCATCGTCGATTATTTTCTTAACATTTTAAAAGTGACAGCGATAGCACTACTATATTCTTTACTATTAGGTTTCTTCGTCCAATATAGATGGCGACGCATGATTCGGTTTTATTGGTAATATATATATATATATATATATATATATATAATCATTTCAGGCCAACTGATCACTGTAAGCAGTGTTTACTCTTACTTTGATCAATTCTCGAATACTTTTGAATCCGCCTACTTCTCTTAATATTTATTTATATCAAAATGACAGGCGTTTTGATAGTTATCATTAGCCCTTTAGTTGACTTCGGGCTTCACAGAGGGGAGGAGGAACATCAAAGTGAGAAGAATTCAGGAGGGGGAACAGAAGAGTGATTCACTGATGAAAACGAGACAGGCAGACCGACACAAAGGATCAGAAAGGGTAAGATGGGTACTATGGTAGGGGTCGAATATGACATACAGTGGAGGTAATGGTAGTTTGAAGTGAGAAGTCAACTGCCGGTTAATAGACTTTTTTGCCGTATGATTATACGTTGCCCAGGTGCTCCACGAGGAGGTAAA